TTCAATGAAATGTATATAATATCTACTAGTTGCTCTAACTTCATGTACTTTGAGGTGCATATACCTAGAACTTTATATACCAAACCAAACCCAAACCAAAATTTCGAAGTTGTGGCAAAAGTTGAGGATTACATTTTTATACTCTAACATGTCCCTGCAAGTTGAGCGTCCTTTTTTATGGGCTAAAATCTGAAATCACATAGCAGTGTAAATTTTTTAAAAATTCGCTTTAAATTCATAACCAATGAGATTTGAATCTTGACTTCTTAATTGTCATCATAAAGTCACTCTAACTATTATATCAAAACTTTGATGAGAGTTGAGGATTATAATTTTATATTTTAACACTCAATACTAATATATGTATTATATGCACTTCACAATCATAATTAATTTTTTTTTTGAAGAAGAAGAAGAAGAAAAACAGGGTGAGATACCCAGTTCAAATATATATTGATATAGAAAAAGAGTCTAGAATTTACAAATAAATAACTGACTAAGCAACAAAAATGCGAGGATAGGAATCGAAGAAGATGTTATCGGAGGGGAGCGGACGCTAGTTGTCACCCTCCAAATAACCGCTGTCGAGCTTTCTAACCTACCATTGATCACAAAAAATGATAAAAGCTACAAAAGGAGGCTGCCAATAGAAACCATCATAAAGCAGCCATCTCCAAGCAAACCTACTACTACATTATAATCAAAAAAGTAGTGTATCTCGCAAAGTTTTTAGAAAAGTACAAAACAACTATAAATATGCCTACAAAGTCTTGGAACTAAGAGACTGAAGCTAGAAGAGGAGGAAATAGCCAGAAGCTAATCTCATTGAGCAAAATTTTCCCCGAGAGCCTCACTTCCATTAGCTTTAGCTGTGTACTGCATACCCAATTCGACAGCAGCCTTATGAAGACGCTGAAATTTTCTGCTATTTGAAGCACCAGTCCAGAATAATATGAAACGAGCAGCATTTGAGGCTATAGACAGAGGAGTAACAGGAGAATTGTTAAATGTGAGATTGTTTCGACTGCTCCAAATACACTAACAGAGACATGGTAATAATACCCTCCATAATTTCCTTTGATTAGGGTTATCCAGGAATAAATCTTTATCTGAAATCATTCCAGATATCTCCTATGGCCAATTGCTGAGATTAGATGATGGGAAGAGGATGGACCATACCTCAGTAGAGAATGAGCATGAAAGAATAGATGATCGTGGGTTTCCCTCTCCTGGTTGCATAAAGGATAAGAAGGATCACCTCTCCAACCCTTATTGATCAAGTTATCTTTGGTTTGGAGTTTCTTCTTGCTCAGAATCCAAAGGAAAATTTTTACTTTTAATATCACAAGGGGATACCAGATAAAGTTATGAAGAGGGGAGACAGTGCCTCCATTAAGAAGTGAGTAAAAGGATTTCGCAGTGGAGCTGTTTGATGAGTTTACAGTCCACTAAACAGAGTCGTGCTTGTTTGGAGAGGTCATGATTTGAACAATATGCTGAAGAAGGTTAGTTTTGTCCCTTCTATCTTCTTCTGTGATACCTCTTCTAAGAATAGGATTCCATCTCCAGAGATTTTGATGCAGAACACTCTGGGAGGAAACAGAATAGCGGGAAAGAAAGCCAGTCTAAAAGCCTTAGGAAAAATATTACATGGAGAGTTGTCTCCAGACCATTTATCAGTCCAAAATTTACAAGTCTTGCCAGAACCGATAACCCATCTAACAAAGTTAAAAAAGGATGGATGAATAGAATATAAATCATGGATGAACCTGGAAGCATGCCTCTTAAGGGGGTTGGATATAGGATTAGAATCATTTGAAGAGTAGATAGAGAAGATCACTTTACTGATAAGACTCTCCCTATCTAAAGTTTTCTAAATTCACTTAGAGATGAGAGCTTGATTAAAATTGTGCATGTCAATAATCCTTAATCCACCTGCACGTTTGTCCTTACAAATATTTTTCCCACTTGACCAGGTTTTTGCCTCTGCGGTATTGAGGGTTACATCCCCAAACAAAATTTCTCCTGATTTGATCGATGGCTTTGATGACCTAACAAGGAAGTTTGAAGAAAGACATATAATATAAGGGGATGGATGAAAGAACTGAATTTATAAGAGTGAGCCTACCTCCAATGGATAAGGATCTATTTTTCCACAGAGCCAGTTTAGAGGAGGAGTCAAGTAAAGGTTGTCATTCTCTTCTGTGCTTGAGAGAGCCTCTCTTAAGCGGAAGACCAAGATAGATGAAGGGGCCGGGAGAGCTCCAACTAGGCAGTTAAAACATTTTGCAAGCAGAGAACCTTTGTGGGGAAATTTATCAAGGTAGAAAAGATTAGAGTTTGAATAGTTGACATTGAGACTAGAGATGTTGGCAAAAATTCTGAGAATGTTATTTAGGACAGCTGCATCATGATTGTTAGCTCTACAGAAAAATAATCATAATTAAATTTTCGGTGTAGGTAATCACAAGTTTGAGAAATGCGTGCTCCAGGATTTGGATTATTTAAGGAAATGTAATGACGTAGGATTTATCCAGTTCATGTTTTAAACAACATAAAGAAAACAAACAAAGAATATTACACGAAATAGAATGTTCATAAAATATCTAAGTATTGTTGGAATTCACTTTGATACATGGATATCTGTTTGGTTATCTATTAATGACTAAATAAATTTGCTCACTTTAAAATTTAACTCATAAGTTACGCAATAATCCACTCGATACTTTTTTTTTAACAGATAGAAAAGGATCTTAATTACAGAGAAATTATGGCCTTATAGAGTTCAAGACTTAAAAAACAATTATTGCAACATATGCATTTTTTTTTTCATTTCCGCTAAGCTCCATTTTATCCGGTTTCAGGAGCTATTACCGCTGCACACATCAGGGGTGCAATGTGAAGAAGCAAGTTCAACGGCTATCAAAGGATGAAGGGGTTGTAGTAACCACTTATGAAGGAATGCACACCCATCCCATAGAGAAATCCAATGACAACTTCGAACGTATCTTGAACCAGATGCAGATATACTCTGGTGTTTAAATTCATGATAATGGAAGTTAAAATAATTTTGTAAAGAAGTTCATTTACATAAGTAGTATTACTCCTCAAACATAATAAGCTAATGTTATAGCTCTGCCGCCTGTTTAAATTTCATGCGAAAAAATAAACACTTTTGGATTTGTTTTCTTTGTTTGTTTGACAATTATGACTTGTGTAGCTTAAACCGGCCAATTATGGCAAACAAATGGATTGTAGCTTAAACTAACCAACTATGGCAAATAAATCTACCTATGTAATTAACTTTTTATACCCGTACAAATTCCTTCTATTAGAATATAAAAATAAACTTGTGGTGTAATGGTTAGAGGGACTTTAAGATGGTACCGGAGCAACCCAGTTAAATCCCACCGACCACGTATTTAATAGGGATTTAAGGGGGGGAAGAAAAAAAATGTTATTGCTGCGTGAGACCAGGTCTCTGGTCCCAAAAAAAAGACGCTCAACCATGACCACCATGACTTTTGAGTTTCGGAATTTAAAACATTCTACTCTTCTTTTTATTCAATTCTAGTACACCTGAGTCTTTTGCTCCTAATCTAGGATACTCCGTATCAGTCAAGTTTCAAATTCCTTCCTAAAAAAACTGATGTAAAGCTTGAAGGATGGAAACAAAACCTATTATCACCTGTGGAAAGAGAAATCCTGATCTAATCATCTTTGGCATTAGTTCCCTCACATCAAATGAGGACTAGACTCGTTCCTGCAGAAAATCTCGGAATTATTCAGGCCCATAAGGCTTTTTGAGCTTACCAATTGCAGGCCCAACATGTATAAAACTACAGGCCTCTATGTGTATGTATACTTGAGCTCCTGAAGCATACCAATTAAACGCGTCCCGACTAATAATTGAAGGCCTGGCTTCCAAACAAAAAGGAAAGAAAGGATTTCTTCAAATTTTAGTCCCCGCCCTCAACTTACTATAAAATTACCTTATCAATTTTTTTGTTCATATCTTTGGATAGAAGAATGTAGATTTGAAATTAGTATCTTTTTAGTGAAATAAATAAGAAAATACTTGTGCATCCCCCCGAAAGATAAAGTTTCTGAGAGCATCTCCAACAGCTTCTTCAAAATTTTCTCCAAAATGAGGAAACAAAAGTCATATTCTCCAACTAATTTTTACACCAACTCCAACAGCTTCCCCATTTTGAAGAATCAATTTTAACTCCAACAGCTTCCCCATTTTGAAGAATCAATTTTTTCCTCCAAAAATTTGGAGAATGCTGCAGATTTGGGGAAGCTTCCCCATTTTTTCTCCTCCATCCCTATTTTGGGGAATGAGATGGGGAATCTGTTGGGCCAAAAACGTAACTAAATTCTCCAAAAGTGAGAAATGGGGAAGCTGTTGGAGATGCTCTGACCCCGCCTCTCGTCCAAGGTGTCTCGGACACGTAACATTTCTCTATGTTTGGTATGAGGAAAGAAAAAGAAACGAAAGAGGGGGGAAATAGAGAAAAGTGGGGAAAATAAAAAGAAAGAAAAATAAAATTTCTTTTGTTGTTTGGTTAGCTAGAAAATTAGAAGGAAAGTGAAATATATTTTCATATGTTTAAATATTTCTACTCTTCTTTTCTTTTCTTTTCTTCAAAATTCTAGGTTTTTTGGAATTAAATAAGCTTGGGGGTTTAACTACAAAACTACCAAAGTTCAAGAGGGTTTGTGAAATTAAAATATTTCCCTGCGCCTAAACTTTTCAGGTCGTTCAATTTTTTATTATTCTTTTACGGGCTGTTTGTTTGCCTAAAAAAAAGAGGGAAATCAAAGAAATGGAAAACTATTTCTAAGAAAAATTGTTTTTTGGAATATTTGGTTGGCTTAAAAAAGAAGGAAATCAAAGAAATAGAGATGAGATGATGTTAGTTGTCACCTTATTATAGAATGATGTGAGTGATTTTTTAAGAAAACTTGTTTTGATGTTGTTTGGTTGGCGAAAAAATAAGGATATGAATTATAAGAAACCTATTTCTTGTAATAGATTGGTTTCTTTTGTTTGGTTCATTCTTAAAAATAAGAAAATAGATTAGATGAGATGAGTTGTCATTATACTATTGGATGATGTGATCCACACTTAGGGGCTGTTTGGTTGTATGTTTTTACCATGTAAAAGTATGGAAAGTGTAAAAAAGTGGGTCCCAATGTCAACTTTCATCACTTTCAATTGTTTGTTTGTAGTTGTGAAAATAGTGTAAAGTGATTTCATATGCTGATGTGGCTTGTAAAGTGATTTCATAAAAAAAAGACATGACTTTAGGAGAAAACTAACAATGAAGTCAGAAAAAAATAATAAAAAATAATTCCAACCAATATGATCATTTGAGTAGGGACCATTTTTTACACTTTCCAAACAAACAATTAAAGTTACATTTGCAAACCAAACAAGCAATTTATGATTCCAATGGAATCAAAAACAAACAAACAAAAGTATACAAGTGAAATTAATGAGGTGGACAACAACTTTTCAAGTTGTGTCATAAATACACAAGTTTACCAACAACAACCAAACAGCCCCTTAAGGAAATCGTTTTCCTAACTTTTTGGGTGGAAATGAGTGAAAATAAAATGTTAATGAGATGAGATGAGTTGTCACCATCTTATTGGATGATGTGAGTGATTTGAAATTATGAGATGAGATGAGTTAAGTGATGTTGTGGATGAAAATAATATTTTATTAGATGTGGTGGATGAGTTGTTGGATGAAAATAATATTTTATTAAATGTTATGGATGAGTTGTTGGATGAAAATAATATTTTATTAGATGTTGTGGGTGAATTTTAGGGATGGAAATGGATGAAATTGTACTTTTTGAGATTTCCACATTTTCATTTCCATTTCTTGGTTTTTAGGAAATCAAATTATTGGACTTGGGGCCTTGTGAAATAGAAACCAAGCTTTAATCTAAATTTATCCTTGAGCCCACATGTAATCAAAATGGGACAAGGCAATGACTTTGGGTGCTCGGGTAGGCGAAAGAGCATCCTTCTGCAGCGGTCGGAAGTTTTTCTCCTTCATTTTCACTGGGTAAAGTTTTTCTCCTTCATTTTCACTGGTTCCAGTCGATGAAAATTATAACGGGGTTTTTTCCTCTGGATTTTCATTTTCCCTTTTCTTTTTATCTTTCTTCCTAATCAAACCACAAAACCCTTTTTACACTTTCATTTTCTTTTCATTTCTTTCATTTACCTTCAATCCAAACAGAGTTAGTAGATGAATTCTAGTGCTCGCATCTGTAAAAGGAATTTTCCCTAGTTCTTTTTAGAGTGGTGTTAGGGGCACATCCCAAACCACACCTCCAACCACACATCCGCCTCTCATTCGCTACAGTACTCCAGGCCCCACATGAGTTTTTAAATTTTAAAAACTCATGTGGGGCCCGGAGTACTGTAGCGAATGAGAGGGGGAGGTGTGGTTGGAGGTGTGACTTGGGGTGTGCCCCTAACATTTCTATTCTTTTTACATAATTTATCACTTGTACATATTTGTAAAAGGCTGACGGCAAATAAATTTGGGGAAAATGTGTCCATGCCCCAAAAGTGGGAACTTCGTGTGACTAGCCCCCTTGTCCTTTGCCCCATGTGGAATAGCCCCCAAAAATGAGCTTTAATGTTTTAAGCCCCCTCCACGTCAGCTTTATACTAAAAGCAGATCGTATTTTGCAAAAAAATCAAAATTGTCCTTCTCTTTCTTCCCCAGACGAGTCCTGGTCCCGAACAACAGAAGTCACTTCTCATTAATGCGATATGATGGGGAAAATGGAGGGAAATTCTCTCCTTTTTTTACTCCATCATGAGCAATAACTAGTTAGTTCTCCATTACTCCTCCTCCTCAGACCAAAATTCTCTCCATAACTCTCTCCATTACTCTTACTATCCCTTCAAAATGGCTGAAAAAGACATCATCTGCATTGTCTCTTCGCAGTATAAAGTGGTATTCTTGAAGATTAATTCTTCAACCACTATCTTGGATCTCAAGTTTGATGCGGCAGAGAGGTTAGATCTTCCATACGAGTCATTAATTTTGGCATACGAAGATCAAACAGTTGGAAGCTTAAAATTTCTCATTGAGAACGATGGTGATCTGACGTCTATGGTGGAGCATTGCCACAATCTTGGACTGAAAGAGGTTCACGTGCAAGCTTTTAAAGAATGAGATGATTCTTCGAATAAACAGGAAAACGAGCAAGTCAGACAAGACATGTAGGTTAACTGTAAAATCAATTAACTTAAGTTCTAATCGTCTTCTTGTTAGTTCTATACTAGGTTTAACTGGACTTCAGTTCTAATATTTTATTTGTCATTAAGCAGTTCTTTGTTATGCTCCATACTAGAGTTCTAATGTTTTATTTGTCAGTTCTAATCGCTATTTTGTTAGTTCTACTAGAGTTATTGCTAGTTCCACTATAGTTCCCATATTGTTAGTCCTAATTGTTATAAATTAGATATAACGTGGTATAAATTAGACAATGTAGGTATAAAATAGAACTAACAAGCCATCAGTTAGAACTGACACTAACACACTACAGATTAGAACTAACACTGTGCATATTATTAGAACTAACACGCTACAGAATAGAACTAACACTGTGCAGATTAGAACTAACACTCTACAGAATAGAACTAACACTGTGCAGATTAGAACTAACACTCTACAGAATAGAACTAACACTGTGCAGATTAGAACTAACACTCTACAGAATAGAACTAACACTGTGCAGATTAGAACTAACACTCTACAGAATAGAACTAACACTGTGCAGATTAGAACTAACACTCTACAGAATAGAACTAACACTGTGCAGATTAGAACTAACACTGTGCAGATTAGAACTAACACTGTGCAGATTAGAACTAACACTGTGCAGATTAGAACTAACACTCTACAGAATAGAACTAACACTGTGCAGATTAGAACTAACACTCTACAGAATAGAACTAACATGTTATAATTTTGAAATAGCTTGTTATAAAATAGAAATAACTTTGTTAAATTAGAACTAACCTTTAATGGCTATATTGTTTGTTCTAATAGCTATTATGTCAGTTCTAATCAATGCACTGTTAGCTCTAATGGTTATATTGTTAGTTCTTTCTAATTCTAATTAGTTCTAACAGCAAGCAATTGTCGTTTTTGCTTTTTAGCTTTTGCTATTATCTGTCGATACTTCTACTATTTGTGCAGTTTGAACTCAAAAAGTGTAGACTGTGGCCCGTCGGCGTTGTGGACCACAAGTGTTCCAGATAAGAATCCCAATGACAATCCTTCCGGAGATGATGTCATGACGATTGATGACATGATTAGCAGATCAGAGAGGATTCATGCTTGGTGGCACACAGCTTTAACCGGTGAGGGACAATGATTTGAAAGTGCGAAGGAGTTAAGATTGGCCTTGCTATACTACTCCATGGCAAAAAAATTCGAATACGAGTTTGGGAAGAATGAACCGAAGCGTATTCGAGTGTTTTGTCGGTTTAAGGCAGCAAAAAATTGTCCGTGGATGTTATTTGCCTCTCCACCGAAAAATGATAATAGACTTGAAATCAAAAGGTTTGTGGACAATCACAGTTGTGGGCAGCATGGCAATAATGCTGGTCAATCTAGAGCCTCAAGGCGATTCATTGCTACCCAATTACAACCCACGTTAAAGGTTCGACCGGATATACAGCCTATTAACATTCAAAAGGAGTTTCTAACCTCGTATGGGATTAGGGTCGATTATAGTAAGATTTGGTGGGGTAAAGAAAGAGCACAAGAGAAATTATATGGTGATGCCCGTGAGTCCTACGATCAATTACGATGGTAAATAGAAGTTGATATTTAACAAAAGACAAACTAATTTCCTTTATGTTGATTATACTAATTTTTCAATGTTGGTACTAACGCTTAATCTTCAATTTTCTAGGCATGTAGAAGAGGTCAAGAAGACAAACCCAGGTAGCTATATTCATGTTGAACAACATGAGGGGAGGTTTACAAGGTTATTCATATGCTACGCCGCTTGCATAAATGGTTTTTTATACGGCTGTAGACCACTCTTATTTTTAGATGGTACCTTTCTTAAAGATCGATTCAAAGGCATACTCCTAAGCGTCGTAGCATATGATGGAAATCAGGGGATATTTCCATTGGCGTATTGTATATGCGATCAGGAAAATAATGTTAACTGGAAGTGGTTCTTACAAGGTTAGTTCTATCCCTAGCCATGTTAGTTCTGTTGCAGGTTATGATAATTCTAGCTCATTCATTGCTAACTCTAATTCGTGTATGGTAACCACAACTCTTTGTAGGTTTGTGGTCTATTCTCTATGAAAGGCCAGATCCATACAACCCTCCACACAAGCTAGTGATAATTTCAGATGCGGATAAGGGGATCAGAGAAGCAGTTAGAGAATTTTTTCCAGATTCTATACACTCTCGATGTGTGTTGCATCTAGTTGAGAACTTCAGGACAAAGTTGAAGGATTTGGGATTCAAATCAAAAGATACTCAGATCTTGGGTAATTTATTGCAATCTGTCTGTTACAAATATACTAGAGCAGAATGGAACGATTACATGGACGACATTAGACTGGTTGACAAAAGAGCTTACAATATTGTGATGAACTACGCTCCAGAAAACTGGGCCAATGCGTTTTTCCCTGGAGTTAGGTAAGTTATAAGCTATTTCATTACATGACTATTATAAGCCGCTTGACGAATTCCCTATTATGTTTCAGATATGGTCACGTTACATCAAATGTTGCAGAGTCATTCAACAAATGGATACATGAGGCTAGGCTACTACGGATACTTCAACTGGTAGAGCACATACGTAAACAAATTATGGTTCGTATGAATGAGCGACGAACCATGGCTGAAAGCTGGAATCAATTTCTTTGCCCCAAAGCTGAACTTGCTCTTAAAGAGAACATGGAAAATGGTCGTCCATTGGAGGTTTGTCAGTCCCACACAGGATTATTTGAGGTACAATCCCATAGATCTTGTCAAGTGGATCTAGACAATAAAACATGCACTTGCCGTGGGTGGGATGTAACCCGTGTCCCTTGCAAACATGCATGCGCATCCATTATGTTTATGAAAAGGGATGTCTACCAGTTCTGTGACTGGTTTATGACGGTTGAAGCCTTTAAAAAAAGCTACGAGGCAATCCTCTACCCAATCCCTGACTTTGAGAAGCGCATCGTGCCAAGGGATGAGATACAGATCCTACCTCCACTTACAACAAAAAGGAAAGGGAGAAATAAAACCAGGCGTATCAACAACAGAACTGTTTACACGCGGCCAGTAAAATGTTCTCGATGTCATATGGAAGGTCATAACCGTAAAACATGTAATGAATCTATAGCTGACTAAGTGTTTGATATGTTGAAGTGTTTTCGTCTCAGTATGCAACAAATATTTTGTTTTTTTTCGATTGAATGTTTATTCTTGTTAATCGGGAACTAACATCAGCTTACACTAGATAAAAAGTTGTAAGTAACAAAACAACTATCATATTAGGCCTAACACGCACAAAGAATAAAACTAACATCTCAGTTATTCGATGCGCTCGAGGGGCTAGGAGTAACAAGCCAAAGAATAGAACTAACTTGGTATCAGATAGTACTAACATGTAATAAAGCAGAACTGACTTGGATCGGAACAGGTTACAGAATAGAACTAACACTGTGAAGATTAGAACTAACACGCTACAGAGTAGAACTAACACTGTGCAAATTAGAACTAACACTCTACAGAATAGAACTAACACTATGCAGATTAGAACTAACACTCTACAAAATAGAACTAACACTGTGCAGATTAGAACTAACACTCTACAGAACAAAACTAACTTGGTATAAATTAGAACTAACTTGGTATAAAATGAGAACAAACTTTGTTTAAATTAGAACTAACTTTGTATAAATTAGATCTAACGTTGTATAAAATAGAACTAACTTGGTATAAATTAGATCTAACGTGGTTTCTGTTTTTTTGTAGATTCAACTAGCCGTTCAAGTAGCCCTTCAAGATGTTTACGTTGGCTGGTTTCTGCTTTTTTTAACTTCTTACCCTCTTCAGAAATGAAAAGCTTAGCGAAGTATTCCAGCCATATTCTGCTTCTTGAGTCCCTATTGTTCCTTATGTCCTCCCCATAAATTGGGAAATAAGTATGGTTATGGACCCATTGCAAATCAAAACTAACATTTTTCATACCCCCACTTTTTGAATCAGGTATATAAAAGGTGTTATTATCTCTGTCGAAAAAGCTTAGCAGCAGCTCAAGGGTGGGCCGATCAGGCGTACGAGCCCCAAATAAAATGTAGTGTTGAAATATAGAACCGCAGTATGCATCCCTATGCCACTGACGGATCTTCGGGGCAATGCGCTTCATAAATCCCCAATAAGCCCCGATATTGGCCGTTAACCTTAGTGTTTCTGCTGAGCCTGTTAGAGCAATTTTTTTCCTGCAAAAAATTTTCGAATTTGTACGTTCAATAAGACATATAACGGGAACAAAATAGAGCTAACACGTAGTGTTATAGAACTAACAATGGACTCAAACTAGAACTAACATTGGACTCAAACTAGAACTAACATTGGACTCAAACTAGAACTAACATTGGATAAAGCCTAGAACTAACAATATTAGACCTAACACTAACGGGAACAAAATAGAGCTAACACGTAATATTAAGAACTAACATTGGACTCAAACTAGAACTAACATTGGACTTAAACTAGAACTAACGTTAGTCTCAAACTAGAACTAACATTGGACAAAGCCTAGAACTAACAATATTGGGTTAATCTGCATTGTCTCTTCGCGGTATAACATAACACTTACTGTTTTTTTGAGGGGGGTTCGTTGGTATGACCAGCCATTGCCGTCCTCCTTTTCTGGTCTCGCCATTGTAATGCCTCCTTTTGCATTTCGATTAGGGTTTTCGTAGCTTCCGTAGCTTCCTCCGCGCTGCCACCCGCAGATGAAGTACATTTTCCTTCCAATTCGGCTCGGTGCCCGACCTCGTAGTCGTTACTGGATTCTTCCGTAGACGACATTTTTCCTGCGAAAACCCTAGAAACGTTGAAATCCGTACAGAAATTAGGAAGATGAAGAGTTTTTGATGACGGTGCTAGGTGGAAGAGAGAGAAAGAGAGGGAGAGTACTTGTAAAGATGAGGGGCATATTAACCCAGCTCAGTCCCATCAGAGGGCAAGATCGTAACTTCCTCTGACTTTTTCTGAAAAAAAATCAATTCGGGGCCTTGTCGCATATACTATGCGTATTTGGGGCTATTTCACATGGGGCAAAATACAGGGGGCTAGTCACACGAAGTTGCCACTTTTGAGGCATGGACACATTTTTCTCAATAAATTTTCACGCTAATTTTCACACTCAAATAATTGGAAGGCAAAAGAAAAAAAAACGCGCTTACATAAATATATAAATCTGTTTTTCCTGACATCCAGCTAATGCCTCACAGGCTCGCACGCTATCAAAATTTTACACACCGACCAAAAATACAGCACCCAAAATCCCGAGCACCCAGACCTCCCACCCACCGGCCCCACCAGACCTCCTCTCCCCCGCTCCCGTGTAAAAAGCCTCCCCCTGCGGCCCACCGCCTTTGACGTCGACACGCGTCCGGCCGGGGTGGCGGAACCTGAACGGTCGGCCTCGCAGGCGGCGGCGGAGGCTGGCTGAGCCCCGCCGGCGGAGCCCTCCCACTTACTCAACTTCGATCTCGAACCTTCATGCCCTTGACGCACTGGATCCCGTCGTCGGGGTCGCGAGAGGAAGTAGTTGGCCGCCACGGCGCGTGAGAGGGCGGCTCGAGGCGGAGACGCCGAACTTTTCGTTGTCGACGCCGGGGATCGTGTAGATTAGGGCCCCGTCGTCCTCGCTGGCGTCGCAGCGATTGTAAGTGGTCTTGTTGGTGGTTTGCACCACCGACATGTTTGAGTTCGTCTTGAAAACTGCAAAAGGGGGGAAATCGGAATGCTAATTTCTGTAAAATGTAAAAAATACAACCTGCGAAAATGCAGGGATAATAAATAGCAAACGTACAGATCTAGGAATGTATCTGCACAAACCCTACTGGGGATAGAATGCAATTAGTGGAAAAGTTAAGGGGGTGGGTGGGTTTGGGGCTCACTGAGGAAGTCGCCGAGGTAGAAGGAGGACTGGGACCGGGCCCACTTGGAGTAGTCGGCGGACGAGGAGTTCTTCTTGACGTCGAAGAACCATCCGGCGGTCCCACCGACGGTGTGGTTTGTGTAAGGCGGGAGAGGAGCGGCCGGTGCTGACGCGGCCGGAGGTAGCAGGGCGGTAAGCATGCGGCCACCGCCAGAGGAGAGATGCGCCGGTGAGAACCCATGTATGTTCTGAGGTTAGAATAGGCGAGGAGGGCGTCCTACCGTCTCAGCAGCATTTGATTATATTTGGGAGGGTGTGCTGGCTGGGTTTAATAATGTTAATTTTCTCCTTGAGTTTTTTAGGAGATTCGGTAGGATTTTTAATTTTAGATGTTAAAAATGATTTTTGTTTTTAGTTTGCATGTGGGACGAAGGGGGTCGAGCGATGCCTGTGAGCGCACGATAGAATCGTCGAAAGTCAGAGAGGAGACTTAAATTTATGAAAGGAAGCCCTAAACTATCATGTTGATATTTTTAAGTGGGAGGTAACAATTAAATTGATCTTTTTTTTTGAAATTAGCTCTTCTTCTTACTATCCTCTCCAGAGTTCAAATTAGGATTCTCCATCGAAAATTAGGGGGGTTCTCTATTGATGTCGGGTAGGTTCTCTAATTGAAATTGGCAGGTTCAGTTCTTCGAAATTGGGTCTTTTCCTCCTTCGTGGGGGGGCGAATTGGAGGTTTTCGATTGATATTACTTCTTAATGAAGAGAAAGGGCGGGAAAAGGTAATTTTTTGGGAGGGTTTGGTTTTGGATAGTTAATTTACCCGCCCACTCTATCTCCGCCGTGTCGACGTTTAAGACACTCACGTTAGCTTTAGGACAGCCACATCGGCCTCACGTGTTTGGTCATGTGATAAGCTGCTGGTTAAAAAATCATCAATGACTAAATCTCACACCCATTTGTCTCATCAAGCTACTTTTAATATTTTAGCCTTCAAGGGCACTTTGCTCCGACTAACTTTTAATATTTTGTTGTTGCTAGAGGGAAAATACTACCAACTTGGTAATTTACATCCAATAAAATATGTTAATCTGGTAATTTCTCCTGATAGGAAGTATCAGGTATTGATGTAGAACACACAGCAGACACGTTTATGTCAAAGTGGGACAGTCGCAAGCCCAAATGCGGGCCTGGTCGAAGAAAATAACTAGTTTCGAAGAAACGGCCGTAACTTTCAAATCGTACGTCGGAATTGGACGAATTATATATGAAAATCGACTATCTCGACGAGACGGAGCCATCCAAACCCATCCTTCGGGTTCGATTTGCGTTTTTCGTTTCGCCAAATTACTTACGGTTGTAGGCATTGAAAATTACCTATAGGTCTCCACTATTTGGTTCACAGGAGTTCGACTGATGTCGGTGAACGCTTGAAGTGAACCGATGAACTACGTGAGCTGACAGAATTTCGGAATAACGAAGACACAGGCTAATCGAGAACCCCGCGATGTTTACAAAAGGAATAACGCCCTTCGTGTCTCGTTCATTCTACAGATAATCTAACCATTGGAACTGATAGAATTCTTCGTCAGACTTCCAACGCATTTGGAATCACTCAGATCCGAGTTCAGACAAAGAAGTTACAGCGAAAACAGTCAAACGAGCATTGAAAAAACGTCTTAAAGCTGAACTGAGGCACCTACGGTGTCTCGGCCAAGTCAAGACGCCCCAAGGGTGTCTCGGCCAAGCCAAGACACCCATAGGGTGTCTCAGCGCGGATTCGGGCCCTTTAAGTGGTTTTAACCGCTCCGCAACCCCTCATGCCTATAAATACAAGCCTTAGGCCTTATTTTTTCGGATCTGGAATTTTTGGAGAATTGGCGAAGCCCTGCCGGAGTGAAGAGTGATCGAGCACTTCAACGCAAGAGAGTTTCTTCGTCAGATCTACATCACCCGTACATGATCCTTAGTATTATCCCGTTGTGGTAATACTAAGAAGAGTAAATATCTCGCTTTTATCGAGATAGGCGCTTCAAGTTTCTAGATCTCCTCGCGGATCGACGAAGCTCTGGATCAGATCTGATTGCCAGGTAGTCCACGGATATCGACGCCCCCGTCACAGGCTAAAGACCCACGCAAGCAAGAGACGACGAACGGATCTTGTGTTTATTTTCAAGAAAGTTGTAATTTTTATTTCTTTGTTGTTTGAATTCATTTGTAACGTTTGAAGTTTAATGAAATCAATGATGAAGGTAACTTTCGACGAAAACAAACTGGCGACCACAGTGGGAGCCAACGGCCTCGCTGCCGAGGCCGTCGTGACGCAACCGGCCTTCAAGATCCGGGTGAACGAAGAGATCGAATACGAGTTCGATCAACAGAAGTTTGAAGAGTACCTCTCTTCCTCCTCCTCCAGATCCGCCTCTCCAAACAGGATCCAGATCTCCCTTCCGCCGCGAAGTCAACTGCTGAAGGTGTTCCAACCTTGTCAAAGAGGGCGCGCCAGAGACGGCGTCAGCGCCTTGCGCGACAACTGGCCAAGGTCGCAGAATCGATGGACGTGATCCGCTACAATGAGGATCTCAAGTCCAGACAGCGCCAAGAGCAACAACGGCGCACGACCCACTCCTCCTCCAAGACAGAAACGAATGAATGGGTTCGTGTCAAGAGGACTCGCTCAACCCTCGAAGAGCGAATCAAGAAACGTCGCGCATTGCTTGCGCATGCCCGAGTCCTTCTGCAGAAAGCGGAAGAGATGCAGAAAGAAGAGACGGTCAAGAAGCCGTCAAAACACAAGCAGGTGTGGGTGCCAAAGGCGAAACCGGCGCCTAAGACAAAAGTGGACGGAATTGCCGTCCAACCTTCATCAAATCCAGATCCCGTTTCCCTTGCCCCTCCGGCGGAGCCAGGTAAGAACGTGGGTCTTTCTAGATCCAATGTTCCTTTGAAAGGTCGTCTCGGTCCTTTACCGGAAAACCGAGATAAAGCACCTGTCAAGGAGCGATTGGGACCTTTGAAAGGTCCCCAAACAACAAACCAGACTGGGGGTCGTGCTAATCCCCCCAAGAAAGATAACAAAGGGAAAGCCCCTGTTACCGACCGCATTGGATTACGGGTCGAAGTTCAAGAGCCCGTTAAGTTTTCACGCTCGCAAAAGCGTAGACTTGAACGAGCGACTTTTGAAAACGCTAATAAAGCGTCATATCCCCAGAGGGAAACACATTCGTCTGATGATGATTGTGTTATACCTGGGAAGTCATGCCAACACTCTATGGGTTGCTCCAGTTATCAAACTGATGAGTTGTACTATAGAGCTGGGGGTATGGATAAGTCTCGGAAGAGAAACACCAGAGACACGGAATCTCACTGTCCGTGTGCCAACATAATCAAGGCGGTACTATCAGAATGCTGCTGTACTAAAGCCCTAAGGAGAGTTTCGGTGTTCGAGAGAATTTCCACCAGAACGTCCGAGACCAAACCAAGGCGTTTCTATAGGAAGAAGCATGTCTGCCAAGAAGACGAACTCCTAGAGGTGTCTGCTAATATGACCGGCAGAGGGAAATCGACGCGACACTCTAACTCAGATCAGCTTGCCGAAGTATCCAGCGCATGACTCGATTGCGGTCAGGGATCAATAGGCGAAAGAATTACCAAAGGATGCAAAAGGGACTTCCTTTGGAAGAGGAGGTGTCAGATGCTGGTTCAGATTCCTGCTCAGCTATAGCATCCGATGACACGGCATCTAGTGCGGGGCAACCCTACGACTCGCTTATGATCAACGCCGAACAAATAACCAAGATGCTTGAAGATGCCCTGACTAAGCAGAAGGAAAGTTTCAAATTCGAGATGGAGATGGCCATGCAGCAGATGAGAGAGATGCATGACCAGCAAATCGCGGCACTGACAACTCATCAAGGAGAACCCAGTCGTCGTAATAGTCCGAATCAAGAGGAGAATGAACGGGAAGAAGATAATGTCAACATAACTATTCCTCCTGTCAACAACAATAACGGAGGCGGTCCCTCGGATGATAATGCGAAGGAAGACCACGTTACCTCTCCCCGAAGCCACTCGAAGACAGATACGAGTGAAGACAAGAAAATGAAGGACTTGGAGAGCAAAATCAACGCGTTGATAAATGCTCAAGAAGTGAAGAGGTCTGGCATACCATGTCCATACCCAAGGGAGTGGGAATCAATTCCATATCCGGCAAAGTTTAATTTAATCAACTTTACGCCGTTTGATGGAAAGGGTTCCCCTACCCAACACTTAATATATTTTAAGTCTCACTTAGGAATAATCTCCGGGAATGAACCCTTAATGGTGCGGTCATTCGTTGGCACTCTTCGCGGAGCGGCCTTCGATTGGTATCGTCGCCTCAAGCCGGGGAGTATCAGCAGTTGGGACGACATGGAGGACATGTTTCTAACGAACTTCTTCGACGACGACACCGAGGTCTCAATCGGCATTCTATTTGATGAGAAGCAGAAGAATGGTGAGACAGTCGAAAACTTCGTGAAGAGATTCCGAAATAAAGCAATGAATTGCAGGGATCCGGTCAGCGAAGATTTCATCCTCGAGACCTGTCATAATAATCTTTCATTGGACATCCTGGAAGCTATGGGAATGGCACCGCCAAAGACCTGGAAGGATCTGAAGGTGCGAGGAGAGCGAGCCGAACGATTCCTCAAAAGGAAGAAGGCGGAAAGGGGCCAAATAGCAAATAACGCTCCGCAACAGAACTTTGTCCCTAAGGGTAAGGGAAAAGCACATGCGAATACTGTGGACGCGAATCAAACATTCGAGGTGTAAGCACAACCGCAACAACAGCAACAAAAGGCACCTCAACAATCAAGATGGCAACAGCAGCCCCAGAAGACAAAAGCCTCGGAGCCGAAGTTCCCAAAGGTCTATTCGTTCAAAGAGGATGAAGTCCCCGGTATCTTCAAGTACCTCATTGAGAATAACAAGATCAAATTGCCTCCGGTCCAGGATCAGGAAGATGCTAAGAGGGTCAGTGATCCAAAATACTGCGCATTTCACAGAGCAGTGCACCATCCTACCAAGGCGTGCTATGCCCTTAAAGATAAGATCCAAGCTCTGATCGACGTCGGGGTCATTACTATGAAGCAACCTAAGGAGAAGAAGGTGGGTGCAAATGCAGTATCGATTAGTTTCGGTTCTGTTCCCTTGAACTGGTTTCAGCATGACCCGGTAGTAAATGCAGTAGTGAGGACCGTGAACGATGATCCTCACAAACAGCGCCAGAAAGGACTTGTACCGCACACAACCCCGAATGGTGAAATTCTTTGGGTTCATCCAGATTTGATTGGAGATGAACAATGGTCTGGAGCCTCTGCCAAGAAAAGGTCAAAAGGAAAAGGTAAGTCTTGTTATGGAACTTTTGCCATTCCAGGAGAAGACGACAAGAAAATTCCAGCCTTCCCGCTTTCTGAAGACGAACAGGAGGCCTTTGTA